TTTAGCAGCTGCAAACTGGAAGATTGATTTTTGCAGACAATTGTGGATTTTTTAGGAGAAGTTTCTTTCTTATTCACGCGTCAATTTTGTTTTTCGATTCGTTTCATTTTATCAGTTTGCTGTTCTATATCGAAACGTATAAAAAAAAACTAGTCCCAATTAAATTGAATTTTCAAAAAATCAAACAAAAATTAGAGATCTGCTAGGTTCCAAAACTGCTACGAAGAGAAGATAACAATTGAACTGTGTTTTCAATTATTCAAAAAAATTGAGTTTGGACAAATGGAGAAGCAGCAAGTCTGTTCTGAAAAAAAAGCAGAAGCAACCTCGGCAATTAAAAATAAAGTGTTCAGGGTTCTGTGTTCACGGACATAAAGTGTTCACGGACCTATACTCGATCCTAAAGTGGAACTCACTTAATACAGAGTCTCAAATTGTTCGCTTGGAAAAGGCCGCAGCTCAAATGCAAAAATTTCGTTAAAATTAGTAATAAGCAGTGGTTCTGTTCTTCGATATCTTGTAGACAAAAAAAATTCTTAGCAATTTATTGCATGCATTTGAAAACATAACATGCAATTGTTATACACTGCATGTATAAAACATAACATGCAATTTATACACTGCATGTATAAAACATAACATGCAATTTAAAATGAAAAGAACGCAATAACAAACAGTTTTTACAAGTGTCGGTTGATTTTGCCGTCTTTTCCGTTAAATTAATTTTTCCGGATCATTTTCAATTGAGAGTTTATCAACATTTTGAACTTATTATTTTTTGCATATAATTTTCCCCCAGTTAAACTCTTTGAACAAAAGCAAAAAGTCAAACCAAAACAAAAACTCAAAAAACATTATTGTACCAAGTGTCCCGAATCGTTTTTTGATTGTAGGCAAATTTCTACAAATTTTTGTTGGACTTTCTTTTACGATGCACATATAACATTTTGCAAAACTAAACACTTAAGATAAATTCACCCAATGTTGTAAAAACTACAATTTTATTCAGTTTTTGAAAAATTGCAGTTTCTTGGTACGTACCAGTCTACTTTGAAGGTTGCTTAACGCATATCACCTCGGAACGATGCAGAGGATGGGACAAGTAAATGCGCATGTTAAGATCAACTAATAAAAAATTCTTGATTCACTTTTTATTGCACAACCAGTCGACGACTTCTCTTTTCTTGGGATGACAAAGAATCATCGACCTCGACAAAGATGAAGAACTCTGTGAACCAAAGCCTCCAGTGATCGATCCAAGAACAAAAGCAATTAGAAACTTGCCGGCTGATCGACAGCTCTCTGTGTGGTGTTTTTGTACATAATTGCTTTGAAATTAAAATCTTTTTGTACAATGTAATTGATGAGAATTTAAATATATAATTATTGCAGTGTTTGAAAAATTTTAAAAATTTAAAGTTTCCATTCCACTCGTGTGAGAGTCAATCAATCAAAAGTTCAAGAGCAAACTGTACTTGTTTCATCTAGGTGACGTGATTGATAGAATTTTTTACACAATTTCAACATTTCAGAGACATAAAGAATCAAACAGTTCAGATAAAAAAGTATGTCTTGAATAGCTTTGACGAGTAAATATGGTTTTTTATATGATTCAAGTGAAAAAAAATCAATTTTGATGAAAATGGGATCTGAGAAACTTTTCATTTGCTTTTAGATGAACATTCACTGCAAATGACTATTTTCGAAGAAATTGTTCAATTTGAAATCTTCTACAAAAATTCTAGAAGAGTGTAAGTCCCTAAAAAAATTACCCGCATGATTCGCGAAACATTGAAATCATTCGTTAAAGAACGTAAATAAAAAAAAATATTCGAATAAACAGAAAGAGAGTCTATATGGACGAGAATACATGGAGTTGCACATGAAGAATATTGTGAGAAAAAACTCGAAAACTAGCTGAATTGTTGTTTTTCTTAACGATTGTTTTGTCTGCTTACATTATAATCTAAAATGAGTGTTTAATTTCTTCTCGTTTTCATTAAGCTATTTTAGAGCAAAAGCTTGTTTATTAAAAATTCCACAGTAAATTCTGCTAAATCAAAAACTGTTTGAATCAGTTTTTTGTTTACTTCAAAAATCAAGTACACTATGTACAGAACCAGGGCCGCTATTGAAAAAATCAGTTTTTTTATTTCATTCGGAATCATTTTTTGAATTTTAATTTTTTGGAATTCTGTTCAGAAACACTAAACTGAATATTTGCGTGGAAGCTAAGTTCTGATTAGAAGATAGATGATATCTCTTGATTTTACTTCAATTGCGTAGCTTCTTTGCCTTAGTACGCATAAATTTGGCTCCTAACCATTGTCAAGTATGTTGAAATGATCGACTGAGCTGATTAAATACTTCTCCGCTTGATGTAACAATAACTGAAAAGAATCTGTATCAGTACAAATTGTAAAGACAGTGAATTCCTTGTTTTTTATATATATTTTTTCCCAAAAAATCAGTTCGATTCACAAAAAACTGAACAAGAGGAAGAGATTTGCTTGGTTCCAAAAATCCTACCAGGAGAAGATAACATTTCAACAGTGCTTTCAATGTATTCATGAAAAATAAGTTTGGACAAATGGAGAAGAAGCAGCAAGTCTGTTCTGAAAAAAAAAGCAGAAGCAACCTCGGCAGTTAGAAATAAAGTATTCACGATACTGAAAACCTGATCTCGATGTTATACTCGATCCTAAAGACGAACTGAATCATTACAGAGACCGGAATGGATCAGGAGTTTGCCATTTGTAAACTTTCACCAGGCAAGTTGCAATACAAAAAATAAATTTGTCACGATCAAGAAGTGCAAAATCAACAAGCCTCCCTTTACTCAGATTCGAACATTCACTGCAAAGGAGAATGAGAGTATGAAACGAGTTGCCTATGTCAATTATGCTCTGAACGAATTCAATGAATTCTCTCAATTTCTGGACAAATTTATAACTGTTGATAAATTTATTGTTCAATAAATGTTAAGCTTTGTGAAGTTGTTTGATGTTTGTTATTGACTTATGATCTTTTTAAGTGCAGTTTTTCCAAGGGAAGTGTGCATTGAGAACTAGAACAACTAATTTTGCGAAAACATCTGCCTATAAAACGATCGATTTATGACTCAATAAATAAGTCAAAAATTAGTAATTGCCTGTAAAATTATGGAATTTTAACATTACTTCAACAAGTAAGAATAAATTGAAAAAGTTCTACACTAGCGAAGAGCGATCTAATCCAGTATGTACGCACAAAAATACATGGCGTACATACTGGATTAGAATTACATGGCTTACATACTGGATATACGTATCTTCTAATGGGTTCCGTTTACATTAGAAAATTTGTATATAACTTTTTTTTCCTAATGTTTTAACTTTGAATTAAATTTAACTTTATATAAATATGTGTTTTTATGTATATGCTAATTCTTAAATTGATGTTCTTGTTCCAGCAGTAAACTCGTCACATTTTCATCATTTATTCAATTGACTTTACTAAATACTATTTAAGCAACTAATCTGAAAACCTGAACTAATTTTCATCACACTTTCCTGTGTTGATGCATAGACTTTTATACAGCAATTATATTCTTTTTTCTTCTATTGCGAATTCTAATTTACTACTTTCCGAGAGGTCGAAAAGCCGACTGTTTTATTCTGCTTAACAATCTCCCCCCTTTCTTAAAAAAGGCAGATTCTTAAGTGGTCCAAAAAAAATTTCGTTTTATTGGATCATATTTACTTTTTTCATGTTATTACTGTTCCGCTCCATAGACCTTAACAGGCATTCGGAAGATTCAGGGCTTCGCCCTAATACAAGCAGTCTCGTTTTTGTTTTAAATTGATTCAAAACACGAAACAAGTCGGTGTTTCACAAGCTTCAAATATGCAAGGAAAATACGTGAGCAACAAGAACAGTAATCTTAACTAACATTGTAGAGAACAACTAATAAAGCTGAGTAGTCTAAGAAGAAATTAACAGATAGACATCTTCTATATTCGCTTCTGTTGTGCTTCAAAAACTCTGTGACTACTTTGACAAAGTGGGGATATTCGTTGAAGGCGTAGTTTCTGGGAAGTGCGATGAATTCGCGACCGGAAATGGGCAACATCAAGTCGGCGTATTTGCGTCCACTTTTAAATACAGATCGCAACCAGGGTTTCTTTTCCCAGCCCTAAAATAATAAAAACCAATAATAACGAGTAAAACTGTAGAATAATTATCAATGATTACGCAAGGTTAAAAAATCATGCAGTTTTCTAGACCAATGACGTAAACGTTTGTTTGGTTGCTATGATAAGCTCTTTTTTGGTTTGTTTGTACCTTGATTAATTATTCACACTCGAATTTTCATTTAAATTAAATTTTGAAACTTGTTCATTCAGACTTTTGCTGCTAATTTATCTCACGATGGTTCATGAGGCCAGCAATTAAAAAGACAAGAATATTGAGGAGATTTTTGATCGTGAAGTAATTGAGATACTCCATCAGGTGCCTTTTTAGAGGGTAGCCTCTGATATGGTAGTATAGCGTCTATAAATCATGCTACATCTATTTGTGGCAGGATAGGTTTGAGCTACTCTTTTGTTCATTGTCAATTCTTAGCAATAAAATTAACTTTAATCCCTTAGTATCAAACCTAAAATTGAATGTCTTAAAATCTAGATCTAAATATTGAAGTACTCAGTAGCGGATTTAGGGGGGGACGCCTTCTTCTCAGGGATTCGACCCTTTGCTGACCCAAAGGGTCCCCCCTTTGTACTATCTTGAGATATCCATTTTTGGTTGATTGACCTGAAAATTTTTCTAAAAGCACCTTTGGCACCAATCTAAACTAATTTTCAGGGCCGAGCGCCAGCCGAAAAAACGCGATTTTTGGTGGAAATTTTCCAAAAAGCGCCAAAAAACGCCTTTTTTGGCCTTTTTTTCAAAAATTTGCCTGCGGACCAGAAAATTTCCTTAAGTTAAGGTCTTTATAGTGGTTTGGGAGAGCTCAAAAAATCAATTTGGTCGACCTAAAAAAAAGGTCGACAAAATTTTCAAGTTTTTTTGAAAATATGCCCCCCCTTCGAGAAATTCTTAGATCCGCGCCTGGAATTACTGGTTTTGCGAGGTTACAATTGAGATCAATTACTTGCAATCCAAAAACAGTCTTCCATCTTGCAACTTTACAATTTTAATAAAAGTTTTAGTAAGATATAACACGATATATTAGTTTTGTGTTTTGCAAAACGATATTTTCTGAAATATCACAAATATAAACTGGAAGCCCGACTCAACAAAAGTTATAGCTTTTAAATCAATTTTAAATTTCTCGATTGAACTAGCTGTATGACCTCGTTCCTCTAATTTGTGCTTTTATGATTCCAGAAACTCTCAGGTTGTGAATTTTTTGGTTGGGGATGTTGGTTTTTGAATAACTAGCGAGGAGAAGAGACGTCACTTTGTGTCATTGGTCTTGTCATCCGGTCTGGATCGACAAACTAACCTTATATGTATGTTATTTATATTACTAATAACCTTATGTTAAACGCCTAGACGGCTGGTCACTTGACCCTGATAGACAGAGAGGACGAACTCTAATTGAAATAAGAAACAGAGTTGAATTAATGTTGTCTGTCAACTAGCTGTTTTATATCGCTCCGACTTAGAAATAAGGTTTATCGATCCCTTCGGATTCAAGGATTATAATATCATACCATCCGGTATGACATGGCGCAGTCAGCAGGATATTCCAAAAACCTACTGAATATCAAACCATTTTGGGATAGAGCGTCGGCAGAACCACCATTAGAATGGACAAAGTGGCAGCTATATTGGAGATGGCTGTATTCGCAAAGGATGGGATCGAAATACGGAATTTATTGAGAGCCAGACCAACACTCGTCGAACCCGCCGAGCCTGTGTATGAACTTGAAATACAGGGCGAAACAGACGCACAACGGAAAACTCGCGAGGTGCGAAATCGAGAAAAACGAGTTGGTTGGGAGAATCACGTCATAAAAGCCCGGGAGTTAGGAGTACTATGCAACTCATACAGATGGGACGAAGCAGACGCAAGAGTCCGGAGTTACCTTTTTCTCTGTCTGGGAGCCGAGGGTCAAAGACAAGTCCAACAGAAAAGACCTAACCTTGTATTACACAGTAACCACACAAGAATTCATGACAGCACTGGAAGATATCTTTGTTACTAACAGAATTGTAGCACTCGAGAGATATAATTTTAATTGCCGTAAACAAAAGAAGTCGAAAAGTCTGGAACAATTTCATGCAGATCTTGTCGAATTAGCCTCACGGGCTGATTGTGGAGACAAAGATGAATGGTTTAAAGGCATGTTTACAGCACACATGCACAACGAAAAAATTGCGGCGGAAGAACTGTTAGCACAAACACGGACTCCACAAGACGCATATTAGTATGCAATTCGCCGAGAAAAAGGAATTGAACATAGTTGTATTATGAAGATAAATCCATTTGGGGGACAAACTACACCAAAACAAGAACCAATACATTATATCAATACTCGGGGTGGTCGATATAACTCTGGGAATAGCCAAAACTTACAAAGAGGTCAAGGCGGGTTCCGCGGTTGACCATGTCTGCGCGGAACACAAAACACAAGAGGACAACAACGAAATAACAATACAAACAGTTCAAAACAATGTTATAAATGCAAAACCAATACAATCAGAATCACCTGCAATCTTGTCCGGCGAAAGATAAAATTTGCTCAAAATGTGCCAAACGAGGGCATTTTGCAAAAGTTTGCAGATCTACAAACGTTAATTATTTAGGAACCCGGCAAGACGAACAAAAAGGAAGAACTAGAAACAGAAAGCCTTGAAATCGAAACCGATCCGGTGGCCTTTGCCGAGTTTACATCAAATAGCGGATGGGATGAATATCAAATAAACAAATTCTCGGTTATGGCAATCGCTGAATCTTTTGAAATCAAAAATACAAATCTCCTGTCGGAAGAAGATCTAAATGGCCATATTGTGAAACTAAAAACAAATTCAGAAGAATTATTCGCTATAGCCGATTCAGGAAGCCCAATGTCGTTTTTGAACAAAACGATAAATCAGCATTACTCAAGTGTCTCCCACCGAACGACACAGCAAGACACCTGGCTTGTTATAATGGTGAAACGATAAACACGAAAGGACGATTGATTATAACAATCAAATCAGGAGGCTGGAAAATTCAGTCAGCTCCATTCATCATTGTAGATGATCAAAAAGCCAATATTATTGGACGCAACATACTACCACAAATCGGTGTCAAGCGAATACAAGAAAAAAATAAACAAAATGTATTGAATATACGCGGACAAGAAGAATCGGATCCGGAAATAAAACAATGGGTCAAAGATATTTTTCAACAGCTATGCATACGTATTGGAAAATCAAAAAATCACATGATGAAAATTCAATTCAGTCAAGACTTCATGCCAATACAACAAAAAGGACGACGTATTCCGGTATACTTACAGGAAACAGTTGAAGGGGAATTGAACAAACTGATGGATCAAAATCACATCATCAAACTAGATAAATGCTCGGATCGACAATTTATTATTCCAATTGAAATCACAGTAAAAAAGGATCAAACAGTCAAAGTCGCGTTAGATTCTAACAAAATCAACAAATTCATTCACAAAAACAAATACCAAATGCCTAACAATGAATTATTGTTGGACAATATCGCGCAGGTGGTAAAATCAGACAAATCCAAACAAACACTATTTTCAACATTCGACCTTCGATACGCATATTCACAAATCCCGTTGGATAAAACGACCAAGAGAACAATGCATCTTTAGTCTTATTGGGGGCAACGCTACTGGAACTTATCCATTCCAAACAGAATTTTATAGCCTCACGGATATGCCAGCTGAATTTCAAAAAGCGATCGATATAACTCTTACAAATTGCACGAACACTTACGCCTATTTGGATGACATCTTAATCGTCACAAAAGGATTGTTGGATACACACAAACAAAAGTTGCTATCAGTTCTGAAAAAACTAGACGAGGAAAACCTGGCGATATCATTGGATAAATGTAAGTTTGCCTGCAAATAACTTGAGTGGTTAGGATTTACTGTTAATAGTGAGGGAACAAAACCACTTGTAAAAAAGACTGAGGCTATTGAAAAACTATCCCCACCAAAAACTTTTAAACAATTAAAAAGTTTTATGGGTTCCATACATCATCTCACACGTTACATTCCAAAATTGGCACAAACCGCTGCCGCATTACGCCCATCGCTAAAAAACACAGAAAATAACAGACCACTTGAATGGTCCACAGAACATAACACAACATTTAAAAACATATTAAAATTGGTATCGGAGATAACACAAAACAAACACTTTGATCAACATCTTGACACTTGCATCGTGTGCGATGCTTCAACTACAGGATAAGGAGCCGCGCTCGAATTTTCACCGGAGGATTGGGTTGCCGTAGCGTATGCATCACGTTTTCTGAACTCATTAGAGGAAAAATATTCTGTTAATGAACTTGAACTACTAGGGGTCGTGTGGGCAATCGAACATTTTAAATACTATCTATATGGAAAACATTTTACCGTCATCACTGATCATCAAGCTTTAATCAGCGCTTTAAATGCAAGCGAAAGATCAAAAACAAGTCAAAACCGGCTCACACGTTGGATTGACCGATTAATTCCCTTTCACTTCGATATCAAACATCTTGCTGGGAGTAAAATGGGACTAATTGACTACATGTCCCGAAATCCGGTCGGATTGGCAATACCTCCTAGTGAGTATGATGAGGAATTTGTTGTAGCATCAATTAGGACATTCATTAATAACCTGGAACTGATTGACAATGTCATTCTAAATAATCTGGCCAATCAGAACAAAGCACCATATGAGCTGATCAAAACGCGCGCGAAAAACGAAGGGCTATTGAATGCTGCTTCAAGCATTCAATTAGCAATGAAACATTCCAAACATTCCGCAACCGGTCATTGCCAAACTAGCAACACAAATCAGTCTCACTCAAAATCTGCTCTAAAACAGTCAACTCCCTTCCTATCCAAACGATCTCAATATCAAACAAACAAAAAGAATTTCGTCCATAAAATTTCATTTCGAGAACATAACAACGTAGCGATGAGCCGTAAAGATACCAAGGGATTTAAA